ATGTGGCATTTATATACAATGGAATATTACTCAGCAATAAAAGAGAATAAAATCATGGCATCTGCAAGTAAATAGTTGGAGTTGGAGGAGATAATGCAAAGTGAAGTTAGCCAATCCCAAAAAACCAATCAACGAATATTTTCTCTGATATAAGGAGGCTGATTTATAGTAGGATAGGGAGCAGGAGCATGGGAGGAATAGACAAACTCTAGATAGGGAAGAGGGGTTGGAGGGGAAGGGAGGAGGCATGGGGTTAGAAATTATGGTGGAATGTAATGGTCATCATTATCCAAAGTACATGTATGAAGACACAAATTGGTGTGAATATACTTTGTATACAATCAGAGATAAAAAATTGTGCTCTATATGTGTAATATGAATTGCAATGCATTCCACTGTCACATAAATTTTAAAAAATTAATTTAAAAAAGTGTGCAAAAATAAAAAAAGTATACAACTTGGGACTCAACCATTAATTAATACCTCAAATAATCTGCTCTATTATATGTAATCCTCTTATATAAACACACCCATATAAAACATTATCACAAATAATGGATTTAAGTTATACCTAAATAAAAACACAGTGGCAAGGGCAGGGTTGTGGCTCAATGGTATAGTGCTTGGCTAGCATGTGTGAGGCACTGGGTTCGATTCTCAGCAACACATGTAAATAAATAAATAAATAAATAAATAAAGGTCCATCAATAACTAATAATAATAAAAAACTACAGTGGCAAAGAAAGACTGCTTAAGGTATAGATCATTTATTGAAGGAACTGTGTTCACTAAAAGCCCTATAGTTTGTTAACTTGTAAAGAGAAAAAGACAATTTGTATATTTCATAGTGAAACTAATAGAAACAACTATAGAGAGCTACAGCTTTTAGGAGATAAAAGAACTGCTTTAAAAAAAATCTTCTATAAGAGCTCTCTCCCTGACAAAGGTATAAGCACCACAGGATCTCATTCTTTAGAACTTTTTCAAGACAGTAAAACTTGAGAAAGGGTATAAGGTCACCAAGTGAAAGGAAATCTTCAGGGTCACAGATTATACTTAAATT